TCACCTCTGCATTTATCTGCTTCCATAGAGTTTCTCTGTTTCTTTTACCCTGTTGGGGAGACATCAGACAACTGGGACATGATCTGAACTAAGTAGAATTATTTCTCTGTGCGTGTATGTAAAAAAAAAACACACCTATTTGTCAACCCCATTGTGCAGCCTTATCTAACATGAGACAGAGCCAGACGTTGCGAATACGAACCTGTACTGGCAGACAGTTTGTTATTTGGTCAGAGACAGATTAGGGTTAGTAAAATGGAATCCTGCATTTCTGGCATAATGCAGCTGACAAAAAGACGAATCATCGGTCTTCTCACCAAAACACAGTTTAATGTTTAACATTTCCTCCTGAATTCTTTTCTTTCGTTCCTCTTCTTCTGCCTGCCTTTCTTGTCTCGCTGCCCATTTCTTGTCCTCACCTTTTTCTCAGTTGTGTTCTCCCCCTTTTTTCTCTCTCTCTGCTTTAGTTCACTTGCCACCATCACTCCCATCCACTCTTAGTACGTTTTATCCCTTATGCCCTCACATTTTTTTTAAACACTGCCTTTCTCCCCTCACCTTCTTTTATTCCTGTTAATCTCACTTATTCTCTCCTCATCTCACTTGCCTCCTCCCTTGGGTGCTCTCCATTCTTTGATCACTGGTGACCTTCACAGTAAGGGTCTGGTTTTGTTTGATCCCACACGTCCTAACACTTCCTATTAAACTGGGACATACTGTATTGTTAGCACCAGAGGCGGAAAGTAACAAAGTATATTTATTCAAGTACAGTACACTTTTGAGGTACGTGTACTTTACTATTTTCATTTCCTGCTACTTCATTCTTCAACTCCACTACATTTCAGAGACTTTGTACTCACTACATTTATTTGATACCTTTTCTGAACAAGATTAATAAAACAAAATACACTATAATTCTAAGACTTTATGGTGTAAAACTGACAAGCCACCAAGCAGTATGTGAAGTACTTCAAATTATAAGCATATCAGGTAGTTAGCATTAGCTCCACCATTACTAATATTTTTGCCATTTCGTGTTATTTCAGTGGTAAAATCCTTGATATTATTTTCTGTGGAACATTGTGTTCACTTAAGGAAAATTCACACTTTTTTGTGTCACATTTTTCTCCTTCTAGTAACCTCACTGTATGTTTCTGCCTTACTTATTTCTACCAGCCTACTTTCCTTCACCCTCATCCCATTTTCCCTTCACGTCTCATCACTTTTTGCAGTAATTTCTGCCAGCTTCTTCCTTCTGTCACCCGGCTCCTCTCCCTTTGCCTTTCACTACCTCATTTAAGTCCTCATACATCCTAGTCTGAGGTCAGAGTATAGCTGTAGGAAATGGATGTGAGAGATATGTAAGAAGACGTAGATGTAGAAGATTATGTGTGTGTATGAGTGAGTGGGTGAGGCAGAGCGTATAATGGGGAGAGATATACAAAAATAGGCAGACTGCCATCTGCTCCCACTGAAATCAGTTAGACTAATTGTAGACAGTTGCTTTCTAAACCTGTGTAATCTGGTCATGGTAATGATTTGCTACTTAATCCCAAAGAAATTGAGGCTGGCACTGAAAGATATTTAGAGAAAGACAATATCAAGTTTGAGAAAATAAAAATGATCTGATAAAAAAAAGATAAAAACTGCAAATAAATAAATAAAGGAATTAAAGGAAGGTGTTCTAAAGCTGCATTTTCAAGCCTTCAGCAAATCAGAAAACAGCAAAGCTGACAAAACATCTGGTCTTGCAAGTTATTTGCATGTTTATTTGTTGTTGGTATGTTGCAGTAGGTCAGATGGTGCAGGGAGAAGTGTTATCTCTCTCACACAAACATAGAAACAAATTGGTACAAGTTACATCTGTAAGTTTAATTATGCAAGAAAGGGAGCGGCTTGACTGACAGTTAGGCTGAATCAGCATCATCTACCATCTATCAGTGATACTGTTGTGTGTGTGTGTGTACACTCCCATATTTTCCATAAGACAAGGTGCCCTTGACAGTGATCATTTTGTACCATGTCTGTGCATGTATGTGTAGTTATTCTCTGCCACCATCTGTTCTCTATGGGCCAATAATCATCTGTCTCCCCATTACCTGTCAGTCACTCTTTTCCCTGTTGACATTTCTCACCTCCCTGTCTGAGCTACAACACCACACCTGTACAGAGGAAAGATACGGAACGTGAAATAATGTCTCATTTCTTCAGCCATCAAATGCTACATGTCCTATACCTGAATATGTACCACCTAAGCACTGCCACCCTCCACTTACGTACACACATCTGTGTAAATGAAATGAGAATGTGGCCATATAGGTGCTGATGTAAATCCCATTTTAAATGATCCAAAGGTTTTGCAGTAAATCAAAGAGAAACATTTGAAGGTGATTTTCAGGAACGCAGCACCGTGCAGATGCCGATTTCTCAGTTGCTCTTGAGGCTTCATGACATGATGAGAAGAATGAGTAGTCTTTAGCATGCACACTGATGGAAAGTACGAAGAACGGGGAAACGCATCACACCCTGAGCATTTTAAATGACAGCAAAGGTATGCACACCAGAGGAGTGCCACTCAGTCTGAAGCTCCCTTGCGGCATCTTTTCCTCATAGCTGCAACAAACGTTTCATCCTACAGTTTATTGCTGTTAACCTTGTAAGTCTGTAGGCATGTAGGTTGGTCTTACCTGTTATATGAATCTCCTACATCACACACTACAACCCACTTCATTCCTTCCCCAGGTCTCTTTTTATCACCCCCCCACCCCACACACTTTCTCTCCTTCTAAAAAATGTTATCTGGTGCTAGTAAAATATTCATATCTCAGTCACAGAGCTGGAATCATGAATCATACATCTGAAAAACTGGGAGAGTGAGGGAGGGAAAGGGAAGGGGAGGGGAGACAAGGGGACAGCATGAAACAGATACAAATGTAATGACAGGAGGAGCTGGAGAGAGGTGGGGAGAAGAGAACATGGGTAGAGTTTGTGAGAGAGAATGGCAGATGGGTGAATGGAAAAGGAAGGCAAGGTTACAGAGAGAAGGACGGGGAGGAGAGTGGTACAAAGTGGGGAATGGTTGATGAAAGGGAGAGAAAAATGAGGGAAGATGGCAACCATGTGTTTGAAAGTTGTACGAGTGTGTGATGTGAACTGATACGACTGAGAATGAAAACAGAATAGAAGTTATATTCCTTAAAGTTGCATTCCTGGTTCATCTGCAGACACCTGTTAATATGGTGGTATCAATAAGTGCAGTTTAATGCTACAGGTCCCAGATACACTGTAACCAAGTAGTCAGCAATTTGTACAAGCGTGACCTGATTTCTGCAGCAGTAGGAGATGGTACAGTTATGGTCACTGTTCCAAAATTCACTCTCAAACAATAAAAATAAAATAAAAAAGATCAACTAATGAAAAGCTGTTGTTTTGTTGCTGAATTTATGATGACTGATTGTAATCACTACTAACCTCTGTGACAAATATATTGCATTTCCTTTGGGTGCTTCACAATAAAAGCCATGATGTGAACACCTTTAATGTGAAGCTAATTACAGCTGATGTGGCGTAAAGAGAGCAGCTCACAGTAAACAGTGAGGGTGACATCAGTCAAGTTTTAATTATAATCAGTAACACTGGACACGACAGGAGGAAGAGCAGGAGTCAAATGACCAAAAGATGCCATAGACTAAAATACAATCACACTGTAACACACATACTGTACATACTCACAGATGTGGGCTCAGATGCTTAGATGGACTTTGTGGGTGAATGCTAAACATGATCAAAATGTGTGAGCCAACATTTTTTGTTTCCAGAGAAAATGTGATAAAAAATATTCAGCACAGCAGCAAAGTGTTGACAAAGTGAAAGTGACAGGGAAACTGAGATCCAGTGTCAAGTGTCCCTCAAGTGTTACAAAAGACCTACAAAAGTGCTTCTAGAGGAGAATGAGGCTGAAGAACAGCCAGGTGAAACAGGGTCAGCGCTCACATTCCACTGAACCTTATGACAGTTGATTATCTCCAGCACACACACGCACGCACAGGGCCCTGCCTGCCGAGCGTGCATCTGTAGGTTTCTATGTCTCTTCCTCTGTGGTGTTATTACTGCTGACATACTGTAGCTAGTGGCTATGTGCTCACCCCGTTCTCTTTCCAACTCTTAGGTTAAGGCAAATCTCAACCACTGCTAACAAACACACATAGATAACCAAGACTAAACACATCTGTCCCGAGAGCAAGGTTAAAGGCAAAACATCACAGGATGGAAGATAGTTTCACATCCTAGCAGTGTTTACTATTAATGCGTATAAGTCTGTCTACATTAGCTTAGCCTTTGGCTGTCTGTAGCTTTAAGTAAGTGCAAAGTGCCTGCTCTATAGAATAAACAGTATGCAGTAAGTCTGTTTGGATGGAGGACAAATGGAAATAAAGAAAAACCTCAGGGCTACTTTACTAAAGATGTGAAGACTTTCTAAATGTGGGAAGGTTTTGTCTCAGTTTTAAACAAGTACAGTTTAGTTAGGTTTCTCAAATGACCAGTTTTCTTTCAGCCACTGTCTTTAATGTCTTGATTAATTGTAATCAAGAGCGCACAATTTCAGTACGTCACAAAACTGGAGCTAAGAAATAACTGTACGATTTTATTGGTTTGCAATCAGTTATGTCCTGTTTTTATCTTGTCTTATCTTATTTTCTGTTCACAGCTCCAGCCTGATGATCTTATTGACAGGGGTATTCAGATTACTAGTAAAATGATTAATAATGAATTAGCAATTAAAAAGATCACAACACATGGAAGATTTACTGTCAATAATGAGTCTGTGGGCAGTTAGGAAATTGTGACAGTCAAATCATTTGGTAAATGTGAGAGCTGTCCTCTCTCATGAACATACTGGCATTCATGCTGGAATGAAAGGTAAAAGTAATAGTTTTGAATAAACAGATTAATCTTTTTAAAAAGATATATAGTATTTTTATTTTTCCATATGAGCTGCAACAAAAAACTTACACAATTTTTAAATTGTAATTTTCAATACTTATAATAGGGTGCATTTTAAAAGGAAATATTTCTAGTTTAAAAATGCATAGTTGTGTTTTCCCTTTCTCCAACATGCTATACATCGGTGTCTTGTGGTCGCGCTGACACAAATTCTAAACATACTCATGGGTGACACCGACACAGGTCCAAAATTAGCGTTTAGAAAGTGCGGCGATCGTGCCCCGTTGCTTGGCAGCAGCAGACGTCCTGCCCTTCAGCGAGCACCCTGGACAGCAGCTGAGAATAGTTTGGTGCAGGATGCTGTAAAAGTTCCACCTGAGCTGTCACACGCCGTCACCGCCCCTCTCTTGATACTGTAAGACAAACAAACAGTTCCTACAGAAAAGAACATTTGCTGCTTGTAAGTAAGTCGCCAGTTTGGAAGACACCTCAGGTTGTCTCAGTTTGATTTATGTGTTTTGCAGAAAGCTTTCTTCTTTTCACCTGAGTGCTTCTCTGCGTGCAATATAGCAGACTGCACTTAAGGTGTAAAATACTACTTAGTATATGGAAACAATTACAGTGCATTACAATCTTACAAGAATCATGTGAAGGTCTCTGTGCTGCTTACATTGCTCCAAACTTCCTACTCAGTTGCAATGACAAAAGGAGAAGACACTGGCTGGGAGGGCCAATCCACTTCCAATTACCTTCTTTCCTTCTTCCACCAAACTGCTCTCACACAAAGGAGCCTCTGTACGTCTGCAAGTCCTCACCAACAGAAGGGAGGGTGTGATAAAGTGGAACAGAATCCCGTGGAGAAAGCTGAGACTTTGTGAAAGGCAGTCCCATGTGCTTCCACCCATTCAGTCAGTTGAAAAAATCTTGTGAAAATCATACATTTTATAATTAAAATGAGACAAGCTGCAGCAAACCATGGCTTCCATTTTTTAAAAGAAGTACTTTGGGGATTTTGGAAGTGAATATTACTTATTTTTCTTACTCTTGCTCAAAAAGCTTTAAAGAAGAGCTCGGTCAAAGCACAGATAAATGTTTTACATTGGTTTATGTAATTTCATAGCAGCTTCTGGCACACCCCTGTGAATTTGCTTGTTTTCATTTCTTTCTGCTTTTCTAATCTGTAGGAGCATCTGAAGCGTGGATATTTAACCTCAGCCTGATCACTGCTTCCTAGATCTAAGTTTATTATATAGGATGAAACATCTTATTTACTTAGCAACTGGCAGATTGGACAACAGTTCAGATGCCATCAGATTAATGGAAAGGAGTGCAGGACACTCTTGTAAAAGATATTTTTAATCTCAGTCAGGTTCTCTTGGTAGAATTAAAGTCAAATAAAAAAAACATGTCTGAAAGGGGCTTAAGAACAAGATAAAACCATACAGAGCTGTTAGAGGAATAAAACATGGAGAGCAGAAGTCTAACCTGAGCCATTACTCTAACTCCAAACTGTGGTCTTAGCTTGCTCTTTCCTTTGTTCCAAGTCTGAGGATCACAACCATTTAACACTTCTACGTTAAGCTTGTGAGCTACATCTGACCTGACACGAAAGGTCTAAAAATCTGTCTTATCACAGCTTTAAATCTGAATGAGCAGCTGACTCTTCTGTAAAAGTTGTAACATTTATGTATTACTTTCAACAAGTCTGAACTGCACATATAGTAGTCACATTGACAAGAAGGCATGCACAGGATTACAATCTCACGTGTATGTACACTGTGTGCATCCCATGACTCTCTCCATCACCGCCATGGGTATGTCTGAGTGAAGCCTTGAGGAGCATTAAAGCATAAGGTCGGTCATTTTCTCTATTAATAGTATTTTCAACAATCCCCATACATAGACTAAAACCAACAGTGGTTTGCCTCTAGTCACAGTTCACATCTGTCAGTCTTCAACCTGGATTATCTTATTTGTCTGTGCCACAGACCAGACCTTGCTCAAAAACAATTAAAACCTCATCAGTGAAACAAGCCGCTGCACTGGGTGACATGTTTCTTCATTATGAAACACCAGATGCGCATATTGGTTAAAATATTTCCCCTAAAGTTCAAAACAGACATAAGTTTTTACAGTTTCTGAAGTAATCAAGAGTCAACTGTGCATCCCTGTGAAAGTGTGAGCAGCTAATGGAGAGCGAGTTCTCATGCTAACTGTAAAAAGATATGGCTGTTTGGAGTTTGGGCTCACTATGCAGGTCTTGTGTTTCCTAATGAAGAAACATGCCGCCCAGTGTGTCTCATTGATGAGGTTTTAATTGTTTTTGAACAACAACTGCGCTCTCTGGCACAGACAAATAAGATAATCCAAGTTGAAGACTGACAGACATTAACCATGAATAGAGGCAATTTACTGATGGTTTGAGTCTGTGTGTGCGGGGTGTTGAAAATACTATTAGCATAAAAAAATTGTCAGCCTTACTCTTCAATATAAAATTGACCTCTGAATGACAGAAAGCCGTCGTTTTAACAAACTGTCCATGTCTGAAAAGGGCCTTAGGCTGCACAGACATCACTTTTCTGTTTCCTTAATGATGAGCCATGAGAAGAGCTGTAACCTAAGCTACTTTGTGCTAAGTTCATTATTCAGCTGTGGTTTTTGTCTTACATATGTAGGGTTTTATGGTATTATTACCTCCTGCAAGTGTTAATAACTAAATACTGGCCAGCTGCTGTTGAAGACCGATTACCTGGCCATGAGCTGAGCAAGTGAAGAATTTCTCCTGCTGTGTCGTTTCACCTCCGTCTCTGTACCCGTCACTGTCAGTGCTTTCTACAGCTTCTTCTCACCTTTATCTTCCTTTTCTAATATCACCAACATGTCAGTAGGGTTAGGTTTGAGCAGAGGTGGTGAAGCGCACTTCTCTCTAGTATTGGAAGGGAGGTGTGAAGGGCAGGGGAGCACTGAAGTAACAGTGTTCAACCTCCCAAGACTAAATTGAAACCTACAGTTCTGGACAATGGGTTTTCTTTCATAATTTTTCATAGTCTTTAATCTCTTTATTTCTGCCTGTATCTTTTCTCTGTCAGCTCCTCGGCTTTCATTATGGGAAGGATGTTCTCGTGCTGTCCACGTCTGCTGTGTGATCACTGCTTTATATATAAGTGCTGCTTTTCACAACTGGCATTTCATTTGAAAGTTTAAAGGGATAATGACACAACTTTTAATGAGTTTTTGTCAGTTGCCCTTTAGGTTGTGTCAGCTAATGCGCGATTGGAGATACAGTATAAATACGTACAGTATAAGATGATAAAGAAGCTGGAGTTAAAAGTATTCCATTTCCTCCATTTAGAAGAAGCTTTCATTTTTCCTTGCACAGTATAAAAAAACTGATTCCACTGGGCCACAAGACTGGCAATGTTTTATGTTTATTACCGCTGTGGTGCAGTTAAGTGGTTTCAGATAAGAAGTACTTTATTTTAAACTGAAAGTTTCCTTAATCACCTGTCAGTCATAGAAGATGTGAAAAAAAGCACGCTGTCTAACACATGGATATATTCTTCTACCAATACTAACTATGCAGAGCTCTCCACAGACAAAAGTGTTCTAGTTCAATAATTAAAACAAATAATGATGATAATAATAATAATAATGTGATGTTCTCGTTCCTTTTCACAACTTAAAAGACATTTAGGGACTGAGGACACCAAGTGATTAAATGTGTCAGGTGTCATTTTGTCCCATTCTTCTGCAACAGTCCTGGGTCTTCATTGATTCCATTTGCATTTCAAAATGCACCACACATTCTCTAATGGGGACGGGTTAGGACAGTCCAGCATTTGCCCCCTTTCCCTCCACAGCCAGGCCTTGGTAATGTGGCACTATGAGGTTTTGCATCGTCTTGTTGAAATATACATGGGCGTCCCTGGAAAAGATGTCGTTCAAGGCAGCATATGTTGCTCCACGATCTTTCTGTGTTGTTCAGCATTAATGGAGCCATCACAGAAGTGTAAGTGACCTTTGCCCTGGGCACTGACACAACACCAGACCATGACAGGCCCCGTCTCTTGGACCTGTTGCTGGCAACAGTCCGGATGGTCCTTTTGTCTTTGGTCCGGAGCACACGGTGTCCATTCCTTCCAAAAAGACCTGAAATCCTGATTCGTCTGACCACAGTACACATTTCCACTGTGTGATGGTCCATGTCAGATGCCTCTGAGCCCAGAACAGTCGACTTTAGGACACTGTCGACATAGAGCTTCCTTTGGGCACAGTACAGTTCTCCTGTTGACATCACCCGTTTCAAACGGAATCATCATTTCAATGTTTTACCTCATTACTGGCCCTCAAATGCAACCGTCCAAACCCTTTTGGAATGTGTTGCAGGCATCAGAACTGAAATGAGTGTTTATTTTATACAGTAAAATTGATGAGGTATCATTAAATAAGCTGCTGCTGTATTGTTTTCAGTGTAATACAGGACAGCAGCACTGGTCCAGAGAAACATATTGCCTTTTAATACTTCAAGCAAATTTTAAGTCATGTACTTGCTTACTTGCCACTGTGGTACTTTCATTTTTACTAGAGTAAAATTTTGTTTGTGTATTTGTACTTTCATTTAAATAGTTTTGAGTACTTCATCCACTGTTGAGTATTGCTAGAAAGCGTGATCCTTCTCAGTACCAAGTAGACACTGAAGATGGAAGCTGGAAGTGTAGGGGGAGGAGGGAGGTTTGTGATGTGATAGGGAGTGATAGCTCGGTAACACCAGTCTGTGGAGACGCAGACAGAGAAAATAGCTGCAATGATGATGTTATTGTCAGTCTCTTGTCATGAGTACACAAAAACAGGAACTCTCACACAAAAACACAGTGAGTGACATTTTCCCTTGCACATATCAGACCTGGTAATTTTATTGATCCCTTCTACAGTCCTGTTCTCTCCCTCACACCAATGCATTTGCTATGGAGGGGAGAGTGGGGGAGGGGGTTACTTTGGACACATCTTCCATGGTAAAAATGCTGGAGGGAACCTGTAATGAAGCTCATACCCTCCCTGGCAGGATTCACAGTGACTGTTCAAATCAGATTTTGTCCACTTGTGTGGCACTGACCTGACCTCTTCATTGCTATCTAAACAGTGAAAATCCGATTGAGTTCCATTTGAATCCCCCTGTAAAGACGACAAGGCGGCAAATTAGATTTTTAACAGGTAGCGAGATTCAGCCCTGCCTACATTGGTAGTCATTACAAAGGATCACCAGCGCCAATGCATTCGCTCTCAATAAGAGCTGCTGATGTCCTTCCATCTCTCTTTTTGGCTTTTTTTTAGTCATTATGCAATGTTACACTGAAAATATGAAGAGACAAAGAGAAGCTACTGTACATAATACTCATTTCATTTTAGACAACTTGTTTTACTCTCTCTCTCTTTTCTCTCTGCATGTCCGATGGAATTCATGTACCCTATGTATTTAGAAGAGTGGTGGATGGCAGAGACTAAGACACTCAGACACATCCTGCAGTCAGGGCACCTATACGCACGTGGTTTGCAAGCACACACATACCCACATAAATCCATGCACCTGCACATGTTTAAGAGTTTTGTGGATATTGTTTGTGGCATAACTGGTTCATTCTCCTCACCCTATGGTCTATCCAGCATCTCCAAAAACAGTGCTCTTAGGATTTATTCTCATGCTATGAAGCATCATAACATCATACATTTTTGATATGATGCAGTGACTTTGGAGTGGATTTTTTGAATCTTGGCGAAAAAACCATTTGCTTGGCTTGTTGATAGGAGACAAAGTTGATGCTCAGAAGAAATTTGTATATTTACATCCTCGTTCCACGTTGAAGTCAGAGGTTAATATCAGTTACAGAACATTGCCTCTGGGCGTGACAGACACTCAGCATTTTGATCAGTGTTTTCAGTGAAGAGGATGTTTTTTGGCGTTAATTAATACATTTCATTAGATGCTTGGGGTATAAATATGCAACACAATTCTTCACCTTCAAGTGTTAGTGGATACACATACAGTATTAGGTTCATCCTTGCATTTGTAAAGATGTAAACATTTTAAACATGTTTGCAGAAATATACAAACAACCATACAGTTTTCACTGACATTTATAAAGATAACACTAAGGATGGTCACAGAGAAACTAGGACATAGGAGAGAAAAGTTGCACAACAGGTGATATCACTGCATGGATACACACACACACAAACTCCCAAAAGCATCCATATACATACACAGCAAACACAAATCCACATCTAGGGGTGCCATCACTGTGAGGCAAGTTGGAGTTGGGGCAGTGTGATGATGTTACACAACAAGGCTGGCAAAGCATGGCTAAGCATTTTTTCTGGGCTAACAGCAGCTCTAGTGGAAGTACACTAAAGTCTGTGTGTGTGAGGGAGGAAGGAGGGATGTTATGAAATCAGCCAAAAGGAAACAGGACTAAATATGGGTGTAGCATAAGAGGGGTAGTAAAGAAAATGAGAAAGGCAGAGAAAAGGGTATAAAAACAAGCTGGCAGCATCACTGACTTAAAAAGACTCCATATGATTTAATTACTGGCAAGTAAACTCCAGTGCAGAGCTGTTTTACTTTCAAGGCAAGTTTCAGGTTCATCTTAAAGGTGCAGTGTATGAGATTTTGTGACATCTAGTGGTGACGTTGTAGATCGCAGCGTTCAGCAAAGCTCTCATTATGTTAAACAGGCCTCACAGCTGTTTCACAGCGATTACGCTAAATGTAGGACAAATTACGCACTCAGAAAACAAATACAACTGACTTGACCAAGCAAAAGCTAACGGTGGCTCACCTGATCACAGCGGTTACCCATGTAAGATTTGAGTGTTATAGACTCTAGTTACTTTATAAGCTTTAGTTACTTCTCACACTTTTAGTTACCTTTCATAAATTCATCTTACTTGTTTATGCATATTACAGCTGTATTGAGGATTGTCCAGAACTACTGAGCTTTGGTTATTTTAATGCATTTGTTTCCCTTGCTTATATATCTTACACCCAGCACTGGGTGTGTTCTAACTACAGCTATCAAACACAAACTGGCATTTAGGTTAACTTTACTTGTTAGGCTAAATAACCCGTCCAGCAGAAAACAGGCAAATTTGGCGTCCTTCAGGAAACATTTGTCCCTCATCAAGGATTTCCATATGGGAAAGACCACACCATTTTCCTGGTGACTACTTATTTATAAAAGCAAACTAGAGCCCATTTCTGCTAATAAATCCTTCTAGATCTTACAGTCTGCACCTTTAAATCAAATCACTTGTGAATACATGGTACCAAGAGTCTTCCTATTTACAAAGGCCAGCTACTCAAAACAAAGCAGGACTATCATTTAGCAGTACAACCTGATTTTCAAACTGAGCAACTGACATTGTTTACTCATGTAAGGAGAGTTGGTTTTCATTGTTCTGGACAGTTTTTATGAACCTAAACCTCAACTAGAATTTCTCACAGTTAAACTTTTACAGTTTTCATTTTGACAGATAGCTTTGTATTTAGTATTTCTTTCCTTTAACATATGAGTTTCTCTACCTATGCGTTCTCGTGTGCATGCTGGGAGCACACAAAACACAAGGGATCTGCTTCTAAATCTGGCACCACAGGTGTCCAAAAACTCCAAAGGTTACCATCAAGGAGTTTCAAACATAAGTGTATGGCTGAATGAAATGAAAAGGAATAACACTCAGATTCCCTTGCAGAGGACATATTTTTGGAACACGTTTGCATTTTTCTTAGTTTATCAGAGTATTAGTCATGTCAGTTTTTATCTATTTGACTGTTTCTGCTATCAGAAAGAACCGAGAATTAATGAAATTTTAACGCGAAGGCGAGAGACTGCTAGTATGATGCTCCATGTTTATAACATCACAGAGTTAAAAGAGGGCAGCAAGAGAAGGAATAAAGATAAATAGGGAAGGGGACATGAAAGGAAAGAAGAGGTGGTGGAACTGTGCTGCATGTGGCTATATTTGTTAGTTAGCAGATAAGAGATCTGATTGGTTGCCCCAGATACCCAAATAAGTCTCATAGCTCTATATCATAATTGCTTGAGTCAGCAGGGATGAGACACACACGACCACACTCATGTACATGACCAGCTTCATCATCTCCCGCTCTCACCTCACCTCTGCCTCTGTATCACTGGCTATAACATGGTTAGGTGGGTCTGAGTGCTGCGTTCAAACCCACTGACACAAACACAGTACAAACCCATCTACGCATTACAAAGTTAAAGATCAGGATTTACCATCTGGTTTCCAGAACAGTTATGATTAACAGTTCATGGTGTGCTGTTGTACTATGTTTGCATATGTGTTTGTGCATGTGGCATCCTGTCGAGCAGACTGATCCACAGCAGGCATTCTTTAATTGTGTTATTTGAGCCCTGTGATTCTCCATGTGCAAACATTTTACAGACACACACACACAAACACAAACACACAGCCAATTAACACCTCAGTCTCCCTCTGGTATGCTGCAATCAAGCTAGATATTTTTAATCAAACATGAGTGCTCACATAGCTGTGCACCTGCGGTGCACTCATTCATATCTGCCCCCCCACGCACCCCACACACAGATATACACATTTTCAGTGATCTGAACCCATATGAGCTACAACTTTAGCAACAAGTAATTAGCCTACATTGCTGATTAGCCTGATGTACTATCAGCCTCTAGCCCTAGCCCATTGGGAACAGTAAGGTAAGCACAGTCAGCTCACAAGATGCCACCGCCTTTTT